TCTTCTTCTTCTTCTTCTTCTTCTTCTTCTTCTTCTTCTTCTTCCTCCTACGGTATTCCCACAGGTGCAGGTTCTGCTTTCCGGATCATTGAACATCATTTTGCACTGTTAGCTGCATCTCCAACGCACAGGCCTGTGGCTTGCATATCTTTGTCGATGGTGTCTTGCCATCTCTGTTTTGGACGTCTGCGAGGTTGCGAGCTATTAACTTCTACTTGGTAGGCAGTCTTGACCATGGTGGAAGGTGCTGCTCTCTGGACATGTCCATACCAGTGGAATCGGCCTTCTCTCATCCTCTATAATTGGTGTCACACCAAAATGTTGTTGAATGGTGTCATTTTTGATGTGGTCAAGAAGGGAGATGCCCAATATCCAATGGAGCATTCGCATTTCCATGGCATGGAGATAGCTTTCAGTCCCTGTTGTTGCTGCCCAGCATTCAGTGCCATACAGTGCAACAGGGTGGATGGTTGTCTTGTAAATCTTAGATTTAAGACAGGTTGGCATTCATCTGTCTGTCACATAACACAGGGGTCCCCAACCGCCGGTCCGCGGACCGATACCGGTCTGTGGAACAACTCTTACCGGGCCGCTGGTTGCTGGGCGCCGCCATCTTTTTTTGGTAAAAAAGTGCTTCCGGTGAGCTTTTCCGGGTAGAAAGCTCACCGGAAGCACTTTTTCATCAAAAAAAGATGGCGGCGCCCAGTTGATGCCGGTACCGGGCCGCAGCGTCAAAAAGGTTGGGGATCCCTGACATAACACACCGGTGAGTTCTTGCCAATGCATTCCGTGGTGCAGGTACCTTCATTGAGTCAAATTAGAAATCTACTTCTTATATCTTTTGCCCTCAAAATAGACAGATTTTGAAACTTTCCATGTAATTTTGGCAAGTTGGATCACAATAAGTACTAATATAAACATTATCTGAGCCACCTGAGAAAATCGGAAATCCCTCTAAAGTGGGTTCTTTCAACAGGCCTCAGGGAGCCTGTGAGGCGGCTACATTGTGTGTTGGATGCTAGTTCGTTTTTCCATAGTCCTATTTAGATTTGGGTTTGAGCAGGTTCTAAATTCTTTTAAAATTAAATTGCTGTATTATACTATTGTTTTACCTGATTGTTTTATTGTACACTACCCAGAGTCACATATGTGAAATTGAATAAATTTATAAATAAATACATGCTATAAGTTATGTATAAACACTGCAAAAAATTGAAAAAAAATTCTGTGGAAAGAGCAATAAAGTGCAGGATATGAGCTGACAATGAAAACCAGAGAGAGATAACTGAGGCGTTTTTGTTTACATAAAGACTGGTGATGATTCTTAAGTAATGTCGGCAATTCTTCTGGATGCCCAGAAGCCTGTTCAAAACTTTTAATGATCCATTCCTCTTTCTACTGTGAGCATGACTAAACATTGGGACTTTCCTCAAGTTAATCAGACTTTACTTCTAAGTAACAGAGTTGAAGTCATACCACTCTGACCACAGTGTTTTTTCTGTCTTGCCATCATCTGTGAAAAGGGTTTTTTAGCATCTTAGTTTTGTGAAAATATTAGAGGAAGACTACTTCATCTCAATGTTTCACTAGATCTGAGTGGTTTTAATAAGAAAATATTAGTGCCTTTGAATTGCTGTAAGAGGCTCTATAAAGATTACCATGCAAAATTGGCATTCTGTCTCAATTTCTTGGTATAGTGCAGGGGTCCCCAACCACCGGTCCGCGGACCGGTACCGGTCCGTGGAACAAGTCCTACCGGGCCGCTGGTTTGCTGGGCGCCGCCATTTTGTTTTGATGAAAAAGTGCTTCCGGTGAGCTTTTCCGGGTAGAAAGCTCACCGGAAGCACTTTTTCATCAAAAGAAGATGGCAGCGCCCAGCTGATGCCGGTACCGGGCCGCGCCATAAAAAAGGTTGGGGATACCGGGCCGCGGCATAAAAAAGGTTGGGGATCACTGGTATAGTGAACGAAAGCTGAGTCAGTTCTTATACCTTTCTAATAGTTGGTGGTTCTAAGTAAACTGGGAAGTGAAACTCAAAAACAACCAACTGAAGACAGATCTCTGCTTTGCTTTGCTTTCAGTTTCACAATAACTTTCTGGAGTTTCTTTGGGAATATTCTTGAGAATAGTCAGAAAAGAGATTGAAGAGGATACACTATCAATGTATGCTTTCTATTCTTACATTTACAGTTTCAGTTTCTATTTGAGTAGGAATATTTTCAGCCTGTATATACACAATTCATATTCTTATTCATATCCTGTGTTGTCAGTGACTTCTCGTCATGATGGACAAAAGGATTTCACACAATTCTCCTGGCCTTCTTGGGAAAAGTGATGACCAGGTTCAAAATCTGGATACACTGATGACCAGGTTCAAAATCTGGATACACTGACTAAAGAGAATTTCTCTCATGTTCCTCTTTTCTGTTCCAGAGTCAAAAGAAAACAAAATCAGCTGCTGCCAACTCCTTCCTCTTCCATCCTTCGGTTCAGAGAAACTTCTGCTCTAGAGGCATAGCTCATGGCTCATTTCAGATCTCCTCTGGGTTGGAAAATTACAGAAGTAATTTCCAGTTTCATTTTATACCCACTGCTCTTCTCATCAATCCCTGTCTCCAAATCAGGAAGAGCATACATCCCACTCAATTGAGCTAGCAAAACAACAACAACAAACCCATAGCTTGATGCTATTTTATGTAACATCAGCAAACATCAAAAATTGATAGCAGAATAGGATTAAAGGCAGGCAAGAGCAAAGAGAATGAGTCATGAACAAGAGGCAAGAATGCACATTACTGATATCAGCCAATGAAACTCATGGGGAAAAAAAATACTGTGGGCAATTAGCATGGACAAGTCTCAAAGGAAGTGGCCTTAGTTATACCAGTCTCAGCCCTTTTTTGTGCATAAGAATAGAAGAATAGAGATGGGAAGTATTGATTCTTCTTTGGTGGACCGGGATGATGTATTCAAGATCACAAGCTTCCTTCCTCCAAATGCAGTGCTATGGCTTTACAGGAACAAACAATTAAGACTTGCCAACTGAAGATGCAATCAATTTTTTTTTCACAGGATGCTGGTACTGAGCAAAGAAGGGCTACTTCCTGGGTCCTGTTAAATGACATTGCTTGAGCAACAAGAACTAAAGCAAGTCAGCCTTGATTATCCAGGGCAGGCTAATAATTGCAGGAAACAGAAAGTCCCCCTGATAGCTAAGCCCTAAATCATATATACCTTTAAAGGGGATAACTTTGAGTTTCAACTGGAAGCATACTGGTAAAGTGCTCATGGCACTGTTACATGAACATACTGAGGGTTGTTACTGTGCTTGCCAATGCATTCTGAACAAGCGGTAGCCTTTTAAGGGTAGCCCCTGTAGAGTG